AAAATGGCATGACTTTGATTGTAAACTATAAGGAAAAACTTAAGACAACTAGCAAATTAAAAACCACAGACAACCAGAGAATACAAATTTACGTCTTCAGTACAGTGAGGAGCTAAAAAATATAAAAACACAATCAGAAAAAAGAAAGAAGAGTACACCCAAAAACAGCTCAACACAATTGAAGAATCTGTTGACTCAAACAATTTCTGGGCCAACTGGAACCTTACTAAAAGGAAACGTGAACAGCTAACAATACAAATTGGAGACAACTGGAAAAACCACTTTTAGAAAAACTGTTTAGTAAAATAAACATGAGTACTAAACAATCGTTTATATATGATAAATTAACCAATTCAGAGTTCAAAGTCCTACCAAAAAAAAATAAAATAAAAATAAAAAAATAAAAAACAAGTGGTCCAGACGGTATCCTTAATGATATGATTAAAAACATAAATCACAATTTCCAATTGGCTATAATGAAATTGTTCAATTTGGTTCAGAGTGCTGGTCATTTTCCTGACAAATGGATTAAAGGATTAATAACGCTCATATTCAAAAGTTGTGACAAATCAGGACCCAAATAATTACAGAGGCATCTGTGTGAACTGTAATCTGGGGAAGCTGTTCTGCAGCATCATCAACACCAGACTCATAGGCTTCCTTACAGAGCACAATGTCCTCAGCAAAAGTCAGATTGGGTTTCTGCCAAATTACAAAACATCAGACCTTATCTTCACCCTTCAGACTCTGGTTGACAGATATGTCAATCAAAACAAAAACAAAATATTCGCTTGCTTTGTAGATTTTCAGAAAGCATTTGATTCAATTTGGCCGGATAAACTGGATATCCTGCACAGCTTCTGTCTGACCTGGGCCCTGACCGTTGACCCAAAGAAAACTAAAACCCAAATAATTGCAGAAAAATACAGATGTCAGGGAAAAAAACACAGTTTCACCCTTGGTATGACAAAATTGAACATGCCACAAGCTACACATACCTTGGATTGAAAATAAGTGCTAATAGAAAACTAAATCTGGCTGTGAATAAACTGAAAGAGAAAGCAAGAAGGGCCTTTTACTCCTTTAAAAAATCAACACAAATAGAAATTCTAATTTGAATCTGGCTCAAAATTTTCCAGTCGGTGTTTGAACATATAGTGCTATACGGGAGTAAAGTGTAGGGTCCTTTCCTCAGTCATGAGTTTGATAAGTGGGATAAACATTCAATTGAAAGCCTACGTGCAGAGTTCTGTAGGAGCATCCTCAGGGTAAAGAGGAACACACCCAGCAATGCATGCAGGGCAGAATTAGTATCATTTACACATGCGCATTGAAAAACAAGCAGTCAAATTTTGGAAACACTTAAAAATGAGTGACCCCAACTCTTATAATTTTAAAGCCCTCAAAAAACAAGGATTAAAAAAAAGCCACCTGATTCAGATGGTCCTGAAGTTACAAACACAAACCAACATAGCAAATATGACTAAAAGCAGGCAGCATCAGGACACGGACATGCTTATCTACAGAATTAAGCCCAATCAAATAATAAATGCATGAAAAGAAGAATATCTAATTTACTGGAATGAAGCAGCAGGAAAACAAAGTAAACTTACCCACAATTCACTGAATTAGAAAAAAAACAGTACTGACTAGGGGGAAAAATTACTGTGTTCTTCAAGCTAACCAATACATTAATGCCTGTCACAAAAAGAGAGAGCAGATCAATAAAAACATCAGTGATGCGCTCTCTCACTCACTCACTCACTCACTCACTCACTCACTCACTCACTCACTCACTCACTCACTCACTCACTCACTCACTCACTCTCACACACACACACACACACACACACACACACACACACACACACACACACACACACACACACACACACACACACACACACACACACACACACACACACACACACACACACACACCTAGATTATTGTAAAGGAATCATTGTAAATATACTGATTATTATTGTTTTTTATTACTGTTTTATCCTAAAATGTTAATTGTTAAATGTACAGCTTATTCCGATTTATTATTATTTTTATTCTTATAAATGAATAATATGATATGAATGATGACTCCTGCCACCATCTGAGAAACCCACAATGACCCGCTTTGTTTGAACTACTGCCCTATTTGTCTTGTTTGTACGCAGCGACGCTGCACTGCTTTTGCAATACGAATGTACAGTTATTTGTCATTAGGGATGTCCCGATACAACATTTTAACTTCCGATACGATACCAAAATTGCAGCAATCAGTCCGATACCGATATAAATCCGATATCAGTACAAATTATGGAAAACTTTATTTTTACCTATTTTGTTGAGTCTAATGTATGAACGGCTAGATCAAACTGAGAACAAGTCAGCAACAGTAAGCATGGAAAAAACAACCATTTTATTTACTATTGGTTGCACAAATGTAAACTTTTACATAAGAATATATAAAAAGAATTAAAGAATAAATAGTAAGACCCTGAAAAAATCTTAATTGAATAAATAAAAAAAAATTTTAAAGTGCAAAATGCTAATTACAGGTCACTTCAGTTGTTCATTTTTTACCATCAGCAAAGAGTAGAAACTGCTGAGAGCAGGAACGTAAGAAAAAAATATTGTTAATTGAACAACAGCTAAAGGTTCAGTGTCGAAAATTTCAATTTCACACACAGCTTTTTGATAAATTTTTGATCCAGTTGAGCTGAAAAATATCTTTCACACTGGGCAGCAGAAATAATTTATTGTTAAGTTAATAAAAATGTGCAGTATGGTTGGTACAAACATTTACATGATCAGAGCTATTTTATCTGTGTTTGTATCATAAGAAGATTATGGCTGTATCAACGTTCCCAAACATTATTAATTTTATAATAATATATATTGCACATATTATATTTAACATAAAAATACTTGCAGAGGCTGGATTGAAACACACCTTTTCTCCACAGCACATACAATAATGTCACTTTTAAGAATAATTTTATTTATCAAAATTCATTATATTTGCATATTTGCACAGATTTCACCCTACTGCCCACATGGGAAAATTAGACAATGTAAATAACTGCAAACTGATGTGCAAAGCTGACACTGTTTATCAGAGCACTTTATCTTTCTGGGCTTTTTTTTAAAAAAAAAGAGTTAAACATGGGAATGTCTCTAATAAAATTTTCCTTTTGCCCCAAATGTAATTCCATTCTTTCTTTTAAACTGTAAAGGCCCTCAGCAACAGAATGATTTCTTATTCTTATTTAACAGACAATGAAAACAACAAAAAAGTTTAGCATTTTACATGACACTGTTCCTTTCAGAGTGTTTAAGTTAAAAAATGAAATAAAGAATAATAAATCCACTATTTCACTCCTATTATCCATATGCACCACTGACAGGTCAAATCTGCTCCCTCTCTAGTCTTAGTGCTGCTGAGAGTTTGAGATTGAAAGTTTGTGTATAAAAAAGTAAAGAAACGCAGCTAAAGAAAGCAGAATCCGGGACATGTTCGGCGATTTATAAATCTTGGCTGAATGCAATTTTTAAGTCCCAAATAGAGGACATGTCCGGAAAAAGATAATGTATTGTAGGTTTTTTTCTGCGTGTCCTCGCGCTCTTCTTAAAGCTAAAGTCAGAGCAACTCGTCTCTGTGGGTCTGCTGCAGCAGCAGAGCCCTCAAGTCTGTGGCGGAGACTTTTCTCATGCACACAGAACCGGGCCGCTGAGGTAAAGACTTATGTGTGGGAAGCGCTGGTGATGAATTAGGTATCACACTGGATGAACCACTAAATGCCATGACCGAATTGAGGCTCGCACGATGTGTGCTACGTCGCCATTCGGTGCCTTATGTTGCTTAGCAGCCTTATGCAAAACAATGTAAAGATCGCTTGACGTGAAGTAAATAAACCAGTAACGTTAGAGATGTGCCGTTGTTGCTAGCGTCAGCGTGTGCTACCGTCAAAATAGATTTCTATCGTACTACACCATAACCTAGTGTAAAGAGCATGTTAAATCTTAGAGATTTTGCTAGCAAGCAGTGTTGTGATCACATGGGCTTTGCACGCTGGCTCTGGACGCTGCTGGATAGAATAGCTGTAACGGAGTTTAGAGAGTATCGGACTGCTTATATCGAAGAATTTTAACGCAGTTCAATAGAGTTTTTTGGACTGATATCGGACGAATTTCCGATATCAATATCGGATAGGGACATCCCTATTTGTCATGCCAATAAAGCACCAAAAATGTGAGAGGGGGGGGGGGGTGCAGAAAAACAGTATTGAACACATGAAGAAAGGGAGGTGTAGAAAGGTAGTGAAACCCCAGACAGCAGTTGAATCTCTGAGTAGTTCTACAGCAATCCTCTGCCCTTTGTCAGTATAAATTAATATCAGCTGCTTCAGTCCAACATCTACATTAGCAGGATGATAAAGATGAAACCAGGTTGGACATTTCAGCAAGGCAATGATCCAAAACACAGTCAATGAAACTCTCAAATGATTTCAGAGGAAGTAAACCTGACTTGAATACAATAGAAAATACAAAGATCACATTTGATAGACGAGACCCACAGAACCATCAAGATTTTTTACAATCTGTTGAAGCAATTCTCCATACAAGAGGCGTCTTTAAGCTGCCATTTTATATATAGCCTTTTATTTATAGTACTTAATACAACTTAATAGTTCATTACATTATTCTTGAGTCATTCCATTGTTTTTAAACGTAACAATTTTTTCAGATTTTTTTTGTGTTGTTATATTTATGTTGGTATTGTTTGGGATTTTACCAAAATCTGGCTTAATTCCATGTCAACAGCTCCTGTAAAATATTTTTCCCAGAAAAAAGAAAAAAAACATGACATAATGAATACTTTCCCCCCACTGTATACAATTTGTATTATGGTATAATGGTTGTCAATGGGAAGTACCCATAAAGATAGCTCTACACATGTGTGAATGACTAGTGGAAAAAAAGCAGACTCTTGACAAACTTACAACATGAAGTCTTGCTCCCAGCACGGCTGGTCTCCTCGCACAGTGATGGTGGTACTCTTCACATTTTGCACTTTCAGTGTCACATAAGCATTGAATTTATCTATAAATGAAGCAGAAAACAGGTTTATATACATTGTTTCATGTGATTGGAAACCTAATCTATATGCACTTTGAGAGCAGAGTGACATCTGAGGGTAAAATTGCAAAACAAACCGGATTATGGTAATCATAATGATGTCCCTTCACATTGTAAGACTTGAGATACCACAAATACTTTGATGTCTTTGACAATTCAAATATGAGCTGAAAACACAGAGACAATCGGCTCCACAACCCACCAGGTGGGAATGCGAGAAAACTAGCTCCCCTCCAGTCCTTCATTTAAAGCATCCCTGTTCACCCACCCTCTCTATATACTATACTCATACAAAATGGTAATTTCAAAGTCTGACTGTTTTGAATCAGCCCAAGTGACTTTATCTATCATGTTTGATATAATTTGAAATTTCTCAGTGTGACTGGTACGATAGTATATTGGTATGATATTTTGAAGTCAGCAATGCATCTTTTAATCTTGGATTTGTCTTTGATAATTTGATGTCTAGTATAGATCGTTTATGAATTGACTGAATAAATTGGCATAACACATTTTTACCTGACTAATAAATTGTTATGTTTTGAATTATTCAAACAGAGTTCATGTTATTATCCTTGGTAGATTACGTTAAGTCCATAGCACTACAAGCCACTGTACAGGTTAGTAACAGACTAAAACAGGTTAGACGGAGCAGTGTGGCACGCTATACGATGTTCTTAGCACTCCGACTAATACATTGGCATTAATTCAAGTATACCTAGAATGTAAAAGGCCAATAATGGGTTTTCTGTTTAGAACAACAAAATTTTTGAGACAATATTTGTGGGTAAGTTAGGCCTCATCTACAAACTTATAATACTGTATAAATCATATGGTGACCAAAATAGTTTGTCTTGATTCAGTAGATAACAGATTTATGGGGGGCCACATAAAAAATCCTAAATTGAGTAAGTAGTAGGGGTGTAACGATTTATCGTTGTACGATTTATTGCGATGCAAAAATGTCACAATATGCATCGTGGCGTTATGACGATTTGATTACAATACGACGTCCGTTTTCTCTTATTAGTTGAGCTGTTTGCACGTGAGCTACGTTCCACCTGCTGCCGCACGTGAGTTCAGATTGCAGCAACAGTAATGTTAGCAGACCAAGATGAGTGGAGCTGAAATAGAGGATGGCCCATCCTCTCAAAATCAGACGTCTTGCAACATTTGGGTTGTACAGTCATTGCTTTAGACGCGTCCGCTTTTTGACACGCATACTGGGTCAAACATAGCCGAAGTTTTAAAGTCTTCACAGTGATTTACATACTTTGCACAGCGACAGGGATACCTCCTAATGGTGTTGAAAGAGTCACATACTGTATTTATAAGGTACAATTCACCCTAAAATATCATTCTGTCTTCATATAATGTTCCCGCCGCAAAATCACACATGACGTGAGCTGACTGTGAACTGTTACTACAGAGGGCGGACTTTGATAGACGCGCGCGTATGGCAAGCCGTTTTAGCATTTAAACCTTTGTTCTGACTATCCATAAATATATTTAGAGATATCTCTAATTATATTTTGACTGGTCATAATTATAATTCGACTAGTCAGAATGACAATTAGAGATATCTGCAATTACAATTGTACAAGTACGAATTCAGATTGGTGATATCGGCAAATATATTATGACTAGTCATTCCTCCATTGACTTCCATTGAAAAATATTTGCAGATATCTCTAAATGAGTTTTGACTAGTCACAATTGTAATTAGAGATATCTCCAAATTAATTTAATTAAATATGAATTAAATACCTGGAAATGTGGATTTTTTTTGCACACACAAAAAACGCAAGTGACCAAGCAAAGCCTTAAGCTCTTACTGTTAAATTAAATTGAATAGAAAGCTTATTTTTTTTGCACCTTTACTTAAATGTTTCCTTAATTTTGTCTCTGTCATTTCAATAATATTTTAAAGAAGTTTTTAAATTGTTTTATTTTCCAGAGACAGTCCTGTTTAATTTATTTTCTTACAGAAAGTTCAGTTTAACAAGTTGAAACAAAAGAAATACATAAAAAATAGTTTACTTGGTAAAATTTGCATTTCAGTTTAATTTTCAATTTTTATTCCAAATTTCATGATACATATCGAATCGTGAACATTATATCGTGATACACATCGTATCGTGAGCTGAGAGTATCGTTACACCTCTAGTAAGTAGGGTTCTGCCTTTTTAGGAGAGTGGTTAATCGCCTCTGTTTAATGACCAAGACTGACAAGCTTGTGTTTAAAAGATGTCATACTTTCATATAGATTTCATAAAAGATTTCATAAAACTAACAATTTCAGCAGATAAAATGGACCAAAAAACATTATGGGCTCTATTTTGACGATCTATGCGCAAAGCGCAAAGAGCAGGGCGCAAACGCTTTCAGGGCATGTCAGAATCCAATTTTGCTAATACAAGGATGGAAAAATCCGCTTTGCGCAGTGGCACATGGTCTTAAAGGGTTAAGTTTATTTTCTAAATGAGTTATAGGTGTGTTTTCAGAATAAAATAGAGATATATCAGTGTCTCATCTTCCATTCCCTTTAAGTGCAAGTTGCTTCGCGCCATGGTGCATTTGGTATATACTTGACGTAAACTAAGTGGAAGTGGAAAAACTGAGCATTTCACTAGCAAGAAAAAAGATAAACAGAATATCTAGAGCGCGAGAATGAGAGATAAACTATCTACATTAAATTTTGCTCTTGTGGATAGGAAAACCTTGTACGCACATACATCTATTAGCCTATAAATAATACATTTAGTTTGTTAAGCACAAATATTTGTTTCAAAACTATTTCTAAATTCAGTTCTAATTTCCAGCAAACGAATAAATGAACAATATCAACGAAATGTGTTCAAAAACCTGAGTTATATACTAATACACATGTTGTGCCCCATATGGTCTTAAATCTGACAGGTGCAAATCTAAGCTTGTTTTTAATAAAACGAATATAAATATTGATATAATATATAATACTGCTAATAATGATAACATTATACAAAAGCAAATTTAATGAACTGAAAAAGTCTCCCAAGATGAAGAAGGCATGAAGGCAGTGGTTTTTCATATTTATGTAAGATAGAAAATAATATGTTTTGTAATATTTTACGCCTTTATATTTATATCCTATACATATCCTTTCATATCCTATATATCCTTAATATTTTAATTCTTTTTCATATGTAAAGATATATGCGTATTGCTCAACATCTTGTGTATTAAGCAGTGTGTAAGCGAGGCGCACAACTAACTCGCTCTGCGCTGGTCTTAAGACCGGCTTTGTTCTTTCTTAAGAACAGACTATTATAGTTTCTCAAAATAGCAACACGCCAGCAACGTGCCAAAACACGCCTTCTTTTTTAGATCAAAACGTCTATGGGCGTACATATGAGCGCAAATGCATTTGCTATTTAAACAGCGTGGTGCAAAATGTCAAATCGGCTCTTGTGCCGAGCAGAAACTACTAAACAACAATTGCGTCAGTAGATTTACTAAAATTAAAATTACTCTGTAGTTACATGAATAGGCTGTAACAAAGACACCTTAAAAATAAAGTCTGACCTGACAATTTCAATCAAAAAAGAAAATAAGGGACATTTTAAAGGAACAGTTCATCCAAAAATTTTTTAATTGGCTTACCATTTATTCTTCCTCATGTGGTTTTAAACCTTTAAGAGTTTCTTTTTTCAATTAAACAAAGTTATTTTTTTTACTTCAATATCAGGAAAAAAAACTAACTATGGTTACCATCACCCAGCATTCTTTATAATCATTTATTTTGGGTTCAACAGAAGAAAGAAACTCAAAACTTACAGTACACGTGGAAACTGAGTAATTGATTGCAGAATTGTCATTTTTGGGTGAGCATTCCCATTTACACATGAGGTTTTAAAGAGATAGTCTCCATTATCTACTAAAACCCATCTTAAAATCCACTTGAAACCAAAAGGAGAACCAAATTAGGTGAACCAAAAAAAAATTCAAGTAAATTAATGTTGGGCGACATGGTGGCTCAGAGGTTTGCACTGTCAGCTCACAGCAAGAAGGTCACTGGTTGGAGTCCCGGCTGAGTCAGTTGGCATTTCTGTGTGGAGTTTGCTTGCTCTCCAAGTGTTTACATGGGTTTCCTCCTGGTGCTCTGGTTTCCCCCACAGTCCAAAGACATGCGGTATGAGTGAATTGAATAAACTAAATTGGCCGTAGTGTATGCGAGTAAAAGAGTGTGAATGAGTTTGTACTAGGCTTGCCACGATAGACAGTGTTGACAGTGATACCGGTGTTAAGACGCAACACCGGTGACATCAGTTTTTCACCGTGACACCGTCCCCACATTTTTTTTTTTTTTTTTAAGTATTCGTTTTTTTTATTTTTTTATTAAACATTTATTTGAATTAAATGGAAAATATAATTGTAAATAATTGACTTAAGACGAGAGCATGCACTATAATTAAAATCTAAACATAGCTACAATGCGTCATATTTCATTTATCAAGTGAGGAGAAAAGAGGAGTCGAATTTACAGAAAGAGGATGCCGGACGATTTAGTTTTAAAACGCAATGCAAAAGCACCTGTTTGGCAATACGTTGGGTTCAAACCAAATGCAAAAGAGAACCTGAAGACGTTAATGAATCAATCTGCAAACTTTGCCTGACAAAGGCGGCAGTATCTAGAGGAAACATAACTAATTTATACACCCACCTTCATGTTTAACTATGGGTGGGTCGCGGATAGATAGATGAATAACCATAAATAGGCAACGCATACTCTCATTTTAAAAATCACGCGACCATCATCTCACAATGTTTAATAATAAATCTTATTATTTTATTAAAACTAGGGATTTATTTTTATTTTTATTGTAATTTTTATTTTTTGTAGTTTCCATTAACAATCCAACTGCAGAGAAACAACATCGTGGCAACGTGAGCACTTTTTCCAAAGTTCAGCTGTTCTTTTTTCC